AATCTTCCAAAATATCCATGGCCACGGAAATGAGACTTTGCAACCTTGCCATCCTCTCAGCCTTGTTGTTGGCAACGACAGGGTGGTTCCTGGTGGGGTATCTGCAGGGCGGTTGGTCTGCTGCATGGTGTAAGCCCGCATCGCCATGCTCAGAATGCTTGCTTGGGAGTCTGTTTCTCGCCTTGCAGATGCCGAGGCCGAGGCCGCTGTACTCGAGTTGCTCGAGTTGTTGACATTGGTCGGGTTGGAAAGCTGGTTGGAATCGGCCGATCACTCCTCCATGGTCATGATTGTAGTCTCTTCCTTTTGTTCTGTTTTCTCGAAGCAAAGTGTGTTGCAGGCAGCCAGCGATTGCAAATTTGGAAGAGATGTGTGTGACGTGTTGAACGGTGGAAAGGAAGTGAGCTGCTCTAGGTACTAGTAGCTTCTAGCTAGGCGGGCAAATGCACAAAAGGTGTGTAATACCGTACGAACTCGAGTGAAGATTCCATTGAGCAGAATATTCTGGGTGATCATCATCAGCTGCACGGAAGTACGCAAACTGCGCCGAGAGGCTTCTGTTCTGTTTGTTTTCTAACGGTACTACAGGAAGGCACCGAATTTATCAAATATTTAATGCAGCAAAAAGTGAGAATACTAAATAATTTACTGGGATTGACAGAGACAACCTTCAGGCTGGAGTTCTGGTGCCGAGTGGCACCGTTTTTAAACAGTTTAAACCCTTAAAAACTTACTACTAGCTAGTAGCTAGCTAGTAACTTAAAATGAAATATTTGGTTTACTTCCTTGATTCGATTCATTTCTTGCTGGTACGTCAAACCAATCACACTTAGTTAATTTACTAGCTTACTTACTTGTACAGTACTGTACGCAGCAAAAAGTGAGAATGCCACCTTTCTTTTAAATTTACAAGTTGCTTCTGTGGCTCCTCTAATCACACTTTCATTATAAAAAAGTGAAGGCTTCAAGCTGTTGGCCTCGAAGATCCACTGTCATCGTGATGCTTGATGGTACCTGGTAGCGGGCCTTCTCCCCACCGGAGAGAAAGGCAAGACCGCAGGACAGTACCGGTACCGCAGACCGGTTAGGAGTTTGGTCTTCACACCAAATTGACTCTTTCTTAACACGTTAAAAGTAGAATTTATTCAGCCCTTTCACGACATCCAGCACTGTAGATTTCGAGATAATTGATTGGAACTGGTATTCTTCAGAACCGGACTTCTGCTCGACTTCATTCTTTGTATTCTGTTTTCTGGAGAAAAAAGATTCCATTCCAGCCAACTTTGGACGCAGGTAGATGATTTAAAACATTCAAAACATTTTATAAATTAACGTTTATCTTCAACTAGAAGATTACCTCGCCTACCCAAATAATGCAGTCTTCTGATGTTCTGGTTGCGATCCACAGAGGTCTTGGAATGAATCACAGTCGCATCAGAATCTCAATCAAGCATGGATGAGCGCTTGTCAGTCGCGACTACTAGCTACCACTACCGGTACCGCAGATCGGATGGTATGGTGTCTGTAGGTCTTTTTTGTTACCAATCCAAAGGGGGGTCCAGAGTCGTAGGTGGATTGTCTACGGAGGCCAGCAATCCTTCACTCGGCTTGCTACTCTCTCAGTTGCCATAAAAGAAGAGGTTTCGTGAACATGGACCAATCGCCCAATACCAACGCCACCAATGGCAATGAAACGACAACGCAAGGACAGCAGCCTCTGCAAGGCAAGCAGCAGACTCCCAAGTAACCATTCTGAGTGCAGTGAAGATTGCTTACACCATGCAACATGCCAACCGCCCTGCAGATGCCCCCAACAGGAACCGCCCCATTGCTGCCAACAATGACGGGGCTGAGAGGATGGCAAGGTTGCATGACATCATTTCCATGGCCATTGATATTGTGGAAGACGACTTTGACAGTTAAAAATGATAAGACAACAATGTCTGTTATTTGCTGTGCAAGATTAGGCACTCAAAGAGGCGCTAATGAAGGATGGTGTGGCTGAGGGCCCCCGGCCCAACTGGGCTCCTTTTCTTCAAAGATGAGGATGGCCAGCTGGATTGAAAGCTCGACAGTGTGAAGTCACTGGATCAAATTAGAGAAACGTAAACATACAATTACATATAAAGTAGTAGGCAAACATCTTAATAAAAACTGAAACCTCACACAGACAGGAAAGGTTGTCTGTTTGGGTCTTTTCTGGTCCAATAGATGCCTTCTCAAGGCAACAGTTGTAGGATTTGCTTGTTGTAGGGATCATTCACACTCAGGGCACCATCCTATCATACAGAAAAATGCCACCATGGCTGCCCACACGTTCAACGGTACTGTATTGTTGTCCCAAATGTCTAACTTTCTTGCCTTGACAAGTCTTGCTTCAAGGCCTTGCCAACATTGCTGTTGAAACCGGTACTAGTATGGCCACATTATTAATGGCACTGCAAATTGGCTCCATTAATGTGTTGTGCTACATGTACCTGCAATAGAAAGTGCCGCGGAGTAGTGCATCAGGAAGATCAGGAAGGTTGACATTGGAACCATTGAAGATGCATGTAACGCAGTAGAGTAGCAGGTATGTCAAGGTTTCACAGGCTCCTACTATTCTGTTTTTTTATCGTTTCCGAGTGATGGTTTCTACAAACATGCCTTAGCCTCTAGCTAGCTAGGTGGTTCAATGACACTTCACGCTATCGATGCAGTTACAGTGGAATTTCAACTCCATTGTTACTACTAGTACGCTGAAAAGACTGGTTGCCTGCTTATGGAAGAGTTAGAAATCAATGTAGGAGCCGATTGTTGGAAGATTGTAGCTGTTTGCCAAGCGCCTCTACAATGTTTGGTTTGTGCCGAACACTCAAGGAAGAGCAGAACCAGTTTCGCTTCATTTCCAGTTTTGTTTTCGTCGTTCCAGCGCTAGAAAACCTTTATTTTTTGTTGTTGCGCGCATATCGGACCATGAGCGCTGCCGCAATGGCCACAAAGGCTAGCTTTTTGAGACGTCCTCGGAATTCTGCCGTTTCCTTTCGTTTCTTGGCTTGACGAGCACCCTCTTGAAAAATATTTCGCAGCGGTGTCACTACATCCAGGGCTTCCTTTATCAATTCGGCATCCACGTTCATTTCCTCCAACGTGTCCGTAAAGTGTTTGGCGACAATGTCAAAATGAGATTCGTCGAGTCCAGCGTCAAATAGCGAACGGTGTCGAGTCAACAGCAAGGAAGATACATCAAAGGTTCTGGGGACAGCCGTAAAGGCAATCGACATGAGGTTGAACTGGTGCCATTTGATAATTTCGATATCCGTGCCTTCAAAAAAGTTCAATAGACGTTCATCTTCCATTTGTTTCTTGTAGAAAATATCAATGGCTTCGCGGCGCTTGGCATCCCCACCCAATTTCTGGAGCATGACCCTGCGACGCTCCAAGGCGCTGTGGTGCAATGCATAAGTCGACATGGTCAAAGGATTGGAATTATTGGTACTCTTTGAAGGAGGTCTTGTTTGTTAGTTGTTGGTCTCTGTTTTTGATTGATGTGGTGGTTTGTGGGTCGAGAGGTACCGTAAGTGAGTTGTGAGAAAGCGAGAAAACGGAGTTGTGTTTTGGTGATGGGAAGGTGATCATTGGGGTTCGCAATGCCACAAAGAGAAGCGTCACATGATTGACATTCGCTGGATCGATGAATAATCGAATGATTAATCGAATCTGAATCGAATCAAATCGAATGGAGCCTCATGTGTGTCCACGCTTTCGCCGTGGAAAGTGAGGGTTGCCTCATCCATGGATCCACGCGCCTGGCGGAAGGGCACGTGGCTCGACGAATCAGCTTCTGAAAATGGCGCCTTTCCGAGAAACCAATGACATGATTGACGATCGACCTCTGCTCCGGAGTCAAAAGAGGACCAGAAAACCATCACCATGGGCTCTTTCCACAAGTTAGTAGCGGCTTGCCACTGGATGGCAATGGTACTACCATTGGTGTCATTGTTGGCCTGCTTGCACATTGCAGTAACCAACAGCAACCACTCCGCTGACAAAGTTGTAACAAGCTACAATGACGAAGATTCGTTGTTTCACCAGCATCAAAGGCAGCTCTACTATCACCGCAACAGAAATTCTGGATACTATCAACGAAGGAGAAGACGAAATTCCTCCTCCACCTCCAGCTACCCTTCAAGACTGGCTACAGGTATCCTCTTCACTTTAGCAGTAGTGGTGTGCCTCATTCTATGCATCCTGTTGCCCCTCTGCTACCCCTTATCGCTTTGGGATTTCTTAAGCGTCTACTTTCACTGGGAACAATGTGAGAGCGCTCCTGCAAACAGCGAGTACATGAATGCTTGTGATGTTCTGGAGTGAAGTATCAGGAATTCAGAGGGCATCCAAAGAAGCATAATACTGTCCAATGATCAGCAAAAGACAAGAGAGCATCGAATGATTCAATCAATCCCTCAGCTTTTGACCACAGCCCAGTCAATCTGCACCGATTGAATTGAGATAATCAACGGGGATTCCTGGAGTAGGGTTAAATCCAAAAGACTGGGAAGAGCCTACTACTGATGATAACAAAAGCCAGACTCATGAAAAGAAGAAAGTTGTGAAAGCGGTTTTGGGATCGATCTACGACAACAATCAAAAAGGACTGGAACCACGGAATTGAGTTGGCAAGAACAAAAGACAACAGAGGGGCGTGCTTTTGCTTCGGGCTGGGGAATGGGTTCTGCTTGTTTCATTGGGTCTTGCCTGCAGCATAAGAGAACGTATCTGTTATGGTTGACTTTACCTCTTGTACTCTGATGCTTATTGAAGAGTTGCCATTGCAAGCGTTAGAATACTGTACGGTCTATATTTGGTTCCTCATTTTCAAACAGATGAGCATACTAGTACAGCATACTTACCGACAGATCTATGATGTCCTGGAAGGTTCTTTGGAGGCAACTTTCTCATGTGAAATACAGGTAAAGCTCTATGATAGTTTTTTATTAAATACATGTTGGCATCCAAAAGGCACGTGTTCATCCAACTACTAGTACAGCACATATAAACACTGCATGAGCTACTGTACCGTATGGTAGCTGTCTCAAAGCATCACCTATTTCCATGCCTGCCGTGCATTCAACGCCTGGGTCTCACTCCCACGATACCCATTGAATGCAATCGAAATTTCAGAAGCGTCGTCCATCCACACCAAACAGCGCACCAATTTCGAAATGAAAGAGGAAACGGACGCGTTGGCCTACACATGAGGGTAATGGATCTTCTCAATGAGGGCCTCCGAACGAGCAAGTCGACCGAGTGGAACACGATACGACAGATTGCTGTGATGGTGCTCGCGAGAACCCTCTTTTCCTTTCGATGGAGCAGCGCATGTTCATTCATTATTCCCAAGTTTGCTTGGCTGATCCAACAATCTTTGAAGGGCAACAATGACTTGTTTTCTACGCTTGACGCTCCTCTTTTCTTGTGCCGTGGCTGTGTTGGCATCGACTCAGCTGCGAACGGAACGGATGCTACGCAACAGGGGACGCTACAGCGACTGTAACAATTGCGATTGTGGGTGTGGTAACGGCGAACGTAGCGGTAGTAGCGGTGGTGGCGTTGATACCGGTAGTAGCGGTGGCAGTAAGTGTCATTTTGTTTCGATGCGTTGGAAGTACAGTATGCACTCCCGAAGCCTGTGACCTAACTTCTTCTTCGTTTCGTTTCAATGCAGGCACCCGTGGTCGAGCCCTACATGCAGCGCAAGACGAAGACCTCAAGAAGGAAGCCGAAGAAATCGAGGCCGAGGCTCAAATGGTTGTGAAGGAAGCCAAGCACAAGCTGCGACTGGCCCTTCGTCAGAAGAGCAAGAAGAAGCGAGGACGCAAAAAGAGAAAGAGAAAGAAGTGCAAGTGTAACGAATCTGAAGACGAGAACATGAAGATCCCTCTCACTAAGGTTCGATCCATTGCTGGGCTCGACCGAGACGACTACAAGGGTTCAGCCGAGACCCCGTTGATGCGCATGATTGAGGAGACTACCTACACGGACCAGAAATCGGATATGCCTCATGGTCGAAATGCTCGCACAGTTAGTAGCTTGATGTGCAAGCAGGATGATCGGATTTACAATGCTAAGGGTCTTTCTGACATGGTGTGGGCGTGGGTAAGCAACGCATTTACAAATCAACATGCAGTGTTTGCACATTTCTCAATTCTAACGGCGTTGCTCGTTGTTGCTTTCCAAAGGGACAATTTCTAGATCACGACATTGACCTGACTGATAGCGCCGGGTCCTTTGGCATGGCCAACATTGAAATTTACAATGAGTACAATGACGACGTTCTCGCGCACAATGGATGCAGTGTCATTCCCTTCCATCGAAGCCAATACGTTGAAGAGCCTCGCCAGCAAGTCAACTTGATGTAAGATTTAGCCTGTCATGGATCGTAATTGGTAGCTGTTTGAGAGTATGAAACTTACCTGTACTTGTCTTGTCCCCTTTGTAACAATCCAGTACGCATTTCGTGGATGGATCAAACGTCTATGGATCCGATGAGTATCGGGCAAGGGCTCTTCGGGCGGAACATGATGGTCTGCTGAAGACTAGCAATGACGGTTGGTCTCTTCCGTACAACACAGAGGCTCTGACGAATGCTGGTGGGACAGGATCGCATCTGTATCTTGCAGGCGATATCAGAGCCAATGAACATGCTGGTAAGTTACACCAAACTGCAATTGAGCTCCATTCACTGCACTGGTCCGCCATGCTCAACTCTTTTTCCTCGAACAACCAACCAGGGCTAACTTCAATGCATACCCTCTTTGTGAGGGAGCATAATCGTCTCGCACGGAAGATCAAGTATTACTTCAAGGATGCCTCTAGTGACGACATCTACGAACTGGCTCGCAAGATTGTAGGGGCTGAGATGCAGAAGATTACATACTACGAATTCCTTCCCGCCCTACTGGGACCTTACGCTCCAAACATGCAACGATACAGGGGCTACAAGCGGAAGGTTGACCCTCGCATATGGAACGAATTCTCGACTGTGATCTATCGTTTTGGCCATTCCATGGTCACGGGCGACCTGAAGCTTGCCAAGGACGGACGAATCTTTGATTCTGTTGATCTCCGGGACATCTTTTTTAACCCGGGCTTCCTCAATAAAGACGATACAAGTTATCTGAATGCGGACTACTTGATTGGTGGCTTCATGTCAAATCAAGCCCAGGAGCTTGATGTCAATGTGGTACGAGACCTTCAAGACTTTCTCTTTTCCTCCACAAATTCAAACAGCAGTTGTTTGGATCTCGCCTCTATGAACATTCAGCGCGCTCGTGATCATGGGTTGCAACCGTACAACAGGCTCCGTGAGGCAGCTGGACTCCGCAAGGTGAAATATTTTGAGCAGATCACCTCGGACTCTGTTGTTCTTTCGCGCCTCCAAAATACCTACAGTTCAGTGGATGAAATTGATGGTTGGATCGGAGCATTGTCGGAGGATCATTTGGAGGGGGCGAGTGTCGGAGAGTTGATTGCTACTGTGATGGCAGAACAGTTCGCTCGTCTGATGGTTGGCGACCCATACTTTTTCTTGAATGACAAGGATTTGTGGACTCCAGAGGTGAAGAAGATTATCAACCTCAAAAAGGTGACACTGGCCAGTGTGATTCAGAGCAACACCATTCACAAAGATCTTGACCCCAAGACCAACGTTTTCTATGTCTAGTAGAGTTCAGTGGAGGACGCGCTTGCATTTGAAGACGCTTTGACGAGCAAAAGCCAGTGTGTTGCTTCTGGTCTATTGCTTGCGTATCGGATGCACCTAATTGCACAGCATAACAGGCAAGTCTTTTTAAGCCTTCTAGCAATATGAATCTATTTCTATAGGTACTGATAGCTATGCAAATACCATAGTCACCCCTCTATGCTCTTCCCATTACTGTGTGTTACCGGTACATGTACTAGTTCCGGTAAACAGTGGTACCGTACAGTACAGTACCGGTACTGTACCGGAGGAGCGTAACGTGGATAATTTCTCTTGGATCTCGGAATCTGTGAGTAGCCAATGTTCACCCCGGCGGATAGCCGATGCGCCGGGTGTGTATCATCGCCAAATTTTGGATCACTCCCGCGGATCGCATCAAGCCGTCAACAACGGTCTTTCACTCACTACGGGTGCTCCTTGGCCGCTGCTGCTGTTGAGACTGTTGAGAGTGGAGTCTTGGCTCAAAGCCGTGGGAAAGAAGCTTGCAGTAGCTCTGACAAAGAGGGACATGAGGTACAGAGAGATAAGCCACACAATACACAATACCGGTAGTAGCAAGAGAGCTGCCACCAACAAACTGACAAACACATGCCGCCACAATCAACCACAATGATTCAAGCATCAATTCTGAGGAGTTTCCTCTTGTTTCTTCTCGTCGCGTCCGCCTTTGGTATCGACAAAGATGCGCTAACAGAGTCCAAGCACATCAGCTTTGGAGTGTCAGCAGTCTCCTCGGAGGGCATGCAAACTTCTTCCTCTTGGATGCAACAAGTCCCCACAGATGTAACTTCATCCTCGCAATCGCCAAGAAATCCATCTTCCCCTTTCCTACATGCGTACCAACGCCGATTGCCAGGAGGATATGATGAATATTTCCAGGATATGGATGCCTCAGGATTTGCAATGGGTGCAGGCTTTATTGTGCTTGTGATTGTGATCTGCTGCCTGTGTTGTTGCTGCAGTTTGTGCTGTGGAGGTGGCAGCAGAGGAGGTGGTTGCCTTACGGATCTTCTCGCTCTCTTCTGTTGCTACGAAATATTTTGTGATGGGTCGCCTGGATGCGACTTTGTGCCCATGGATGGCGAAATGTGCTAGCAAGTCTAGTCTTTCTGCTACCCGTGGCAGCCAATTGGCCAACCCTGGAGGGAGTGCCGTAGTAGCTAGCTTGCTAGAGCGAGTTAACAAGTCCTAACGGTCGATGATAGTATGAAGTATGAAACACCAGCTGAGCAATGCCCCAATGGCTGATACCACTTGGGCTACGGTGCTTTGCCGTAGGTTGGGTTCAAATTATGCATCTGTTACATAGCTGCTACTACTACATGGAAAAAATAGCTACCAACGACCAATTTTGCTTCAGTTTGAACCAGTTAATTAAATTTGGTGCCCTCCCTAGTTTGTGCGAATAGATTGCTTGGTTGCTTGGCACAGCCACCATACATCGTAGCTCGTCGCATCCTCTCAGGAGGCTACGGTAGTGTGGCCGGTGAGCAGACTTGACTGCGGGAAGCACCCTGGCCTCCGCTCGTGGGTCCTCCTCAAGCACTTCTTGTTTGAATTAATTGGTTAATAGACGTTCCTTTCCCCTACTTATATTGAACTTTTAACACTCTCAGCTGAACCACTCCAATATTTTAGCCAGCCAGCTATCCTCAGTCCTCATCAGCAACAACAAGTGCGGGTTCAGTAGTTGAGTTTGCCGGTAGTAGTACGCCCCAAGCCAACAACGTAATGATCGATGAGGTTCCCATAGCAGGTGTTGAGGTGCTGCCTTTAATCTTTTACCAAGCTAGCTAGATCATGGCTTGGAAAGCAAAGATCTGAGCAAGGTACCGGTAGCCAGCTGGAGCTTCGAATAAAATCTAAAAGAACAGAATTTCTTCCGGAACGTCTACTAGCTACCGGTAGCTTCCCACCAACTCACGGAAGCAACGGTAAAAGTGTTCCGAGACGCAACAACACTTCCATGGCAGAAGAAGCTACTAGCTAGTAGTACCGGTAGCTATTAGGAGAGATACCGGTACCTGGTACTACTCAGGTCGCAAGACAGTGTAGTGTGGTTTTTAGTCGAGCCTTTTGCTTTCAACTCCAGTACGGTATGGCTCTGCTCTGCTCTACAGTACTAGTACTGGGAAATGGCTGCGGCAGCAACTTTGGAACCTGCCCTACTAGAGAGAGGATAGAGGGATGATAACTGGCCGTTCTATCTGTACCGTAGCTAGCTATGATCAATCTTATCTTTCTTTTGCTTCTAAATATGTAATTTACAGCGTCGTGCTGATGTGTCTTCTATCCTCTTTCGTCGCTTTTTCTCTGTCTCTTCCAGCGTTGCCATGTCTGTTCTGTTTTCTGTTTTGCTCAGCACAGAAGCAGCAACTCCTGGCTGTTTCCGAATGCAATGGTACTGGCACGTGTTCTAGAACATTTGCAACATGGTGGCAACCGGTATGGATCGATCAGGGACACCAGCCTCTTTCAAAACCAATTTTTGGTCTTCCTGGGACAAGCAAGCATCGGATCGTCCAATGTTCTCAAGCATTTGATTCAGGCTCTCAATCTTGACTTCTCCTCCCTCTGGACCCTGGACTGCCTTGATCACATGTTTCTTGAAGCGACTGGGAGTCTCGTCAGAGAAACTGGATATTACGGACAACACGTGGAAGTGAGCGACAGACAGCCGCAAAAAGATGACGGCATCAGATCAGCTCAGCTCAGCCCAACCCAACCCAACAAAGAACTCCTCTACTTACTGTTCTCTTCGGTACTCTTCAAATACACAACGAATCCGTTCCACAGGCTCACAGTCCGAAAAGGCACGACGACCCATAGCCATCGACGAAGGACGGGTAGCCACACGGGCAATCAAAAGACGAGAGCTGTTCAGGATCATGATGGAAAAATGAAAGATTCAACTGGATTCGGCAGTCAAGTAGATGTTGTGAGATATTCAATGAGAGCCCTTATGTCAAGTGTCGTTGGTTGATGCCTTGAGCCTTCTTGTTGCTGATGGAGCCTTCTTGTCAATATCGAACGTTCAGCAAACTAAATTGTGAGACGAAAAACTTCAGCATGTTGATGTTGATGGGTGAATCCCCAGTGATGGATCCCTATCAGTTGGCCATCATGACTTGAAATGAAGTTGTCAGAGCTGCTGTCACTCGTCAGTATATTTGTTTTGATTGGCTGAGAAGCGTCATCAAAAAAGGATTCTTCTCTACCGGTACCGCGGTATTAAGTATCGTACCCTGTACAGTACAGTACACTACTAGTACCACTCATTATTTGCCGGAATGTGTCTGGGATCCAAGTGCGTTGGAGGGTATGGATTAAACTTGTCGGACAGTAGAATAATCAGTACAGAATTAAAGTGCATTTTGCACGGGCGTTTTGGGACAACACCAATTTACTCTATAAAACACAGTACAAATGATTAAAGGGCTGTTGTCCCAGTCACTTTTTAGGAGAATGACTTAGAAAGTGTCCGTGCACAATTAAACCCTAAACTCAATATAAGTAGCAGAAGGGGATCAAGCCTTAACATATAAACTAAACTAGAGTTTGTCTGTTTAACATGAGCAACACAGTGGTATTCCTATGAGTGAAATTGCTTGAAATTCGCGACTTGTTGTTAGGTAAGTTAGTCATTTGGGACAATCTATACAGTACAAAGTGGGTTAAAAATGTTTTTCAAGAAATTTACACTGGATAAAGCATGGTCCCATCCAAAACCCACTTTAATCTTGTAGTCTGCTGTACGCACCAAGGAACAAAAGGGTTGTTCTTGCTGACACTAGATAGGGTCATTTGCAGTCATTTGCTGTCGTTTGTGACAGCAATGACTGCATGGAGCAGCTGACTCCAACCAATCGGAGTTGTGCGCCCTCAACTCCAAGATAGACTTCAAGAACGCTTGGCATTTAGCATTCGCTCGAATCGAATCAAGTCAAATCGGATTGAATCGAAATCGACCCCGAGTCGAGTCACGACTGAGTCGAGTCGAGTCCTCAGTCGAAGGGCCAGAGAATCGAATCGAATGAATCTTCACAATCATCATGAAGATAGAAGTGAACGGGGGTTTAGAGTACTAGCTAGTAGTCTAGTAGGGTAATTATCCACCGGTACGGAAGATAGATGATGTTCCGGAAACCCATGTGCCAGCAGCAGCCACCCTGCCTCCTGACCTACCGGTACCGCACTCTACGGAGCCGAAGGGAGTGTGCCATTATGGGTCGATACCGGTAGTCTGATCATGCCTCCTGCCGTTCCTGGTGGTACCGGTACTGGTACCAGGTACAACGGTAGAGGTGGCCGTGTGAGGGAGAGTTGAATAGCAACTCCTAACCGGTGCTATGATAGTGTGCTGGCTACTAGAGCTGGATAGTGGTACCGCTACAAATCCAACTCCTACTTGCACATTGAAGCGATAGAAGACATCCGTTCAGGCTGGTAGATGGACAACCAACCAGACATGCAAACGCTACTTGTACCGGTAGTACTTCTAGCCGGAGGACTCCCCCAAAAGGGCGGATTCGGTACTCGGAGTCCTGCCTGTGTGGTTGAAAATGCACTGGCAAGAAGTTGGCCCCGCAACGTCCATCCATGTATGCATAAGGCACCAGCCACCGTACACGCGTATGGCATGCAAGCACTATGGCTGGCTAAGACATATGATCCTAAGACAGAGATCCTTTCTGTCACAAACTAAGCAGCCCGGGCGTCGCTTATCTTAGCTCGCTCAATTGCACGACCGATACGAAGTCACACCGGTGGGGCTTTCTTCCGCACGGTACGGGTATGGACGCACCGAAGGCAAACAAGCGCAACGAAGAGACATCGAAAGATAGATACGGCAACGAAAGAAGGGCATCACATTCAAATGCAGTTCTTATGTAATCACTGCGGCAAATTTAGTTCGGTTGCTTGCTTCTCTTCTTGGCTGCCATGACTGACTGCCTGCACATGAATCCTGCGCCCTGCGGAAACCGTCAAACGGTGAAGGCAGGCGAGCAACAGAAGTTGGGTGGTGCCTACCGTCTACCTAACATTCGATTGATGCGGGGGCGGCTGCTGGCACTATCTTGGTTTCTTCAAGCTCTTCCTGCTCCATAGCATCGCCATTGGCCAGTTCTGCAACCCACTCAGCAACGATGTCTTGGCCACGCTCTTTCCATTCCTCACGATTCTGGAGAGCATAGTTCAGGTACTCATCGCTGCTGACACCGAAGACGCCACAGTCTTCCAGCTTCTTTGCAAGAGGAATGATGTAGTTGTCAAAGAAGCCAATCTCGCCTTGATACCAGAAATCAGCAGGATTCTTGGCAAAACGCCCAGCATGGAAGGCTGCTGTCATCTCCGAGAACAGGCGCTTGTTCCATTTCTGGTACACATGCCAGTGCTGCATTGTGTGAGACACATCGGAAGCTTGGATAATGTGCTCAAGAACTATGGTGGCCTTCCTGTCACGGTCAAAACTAAGGGTGTCACCAGGTTCTTCTGCTTCACCAATAGTCTCTCCAGCGAAGGCCTGGGTCCATCGTCGTTTGCGCAAGTCGTTCAATTCCTTATCAAAGATGTCAGTGGCTAGCACAATGTTCACAATCAGCTGACGAAATCGCAGAAGCTCCTCATTGGATTCAAAAAGGCAGGCGCGGAGGCTGGAAAAGCGATCTCCCATCAACAGGTCCCAGGCAAGATCCAGCGAGTTCTGTAAGAAGGGGAAAGCACTGATGAGTCACTATCCTTGGCAAAGCTGCTGAAAAGGAACTTGATGATGTGTTGCCCGATGTGTTGCCTGCATACCTGTTCAGCAATACTCTTGTTCTCATACTTGGATGCCATATCGGGAAACTCCTTTGACAGCTGAATGTTGGAGACTCCTTGGTGGTCACTGTTTGGGAGTAAAGTAGGCAACAACTGAGTTTTAATATGAATCTCCTCAAAAGACGCTTGGGTGAATAACAATCTTGCAACAGACTTACACATCATGGATCAAGGCTGAAAATGACATGGCAAAAATTGCTAGGGGGTCAGAGCTGATACCATGAGTGAATTCATGGAGCTGTTGCATGGTTGAGCTCCTGTTGCTAGATTGATCGAGAGCACTGCCAGCAGAACTCATTTCTGCTTGAACAATTCGTTTCAAGAGCTTTTGGACACTCATTGCAACATCTAAGGGTCCAAATTGAAGCAAGGGTGAGCCGCCTGCAACTCTTCAGCAAGGCAAGACAACTCTATGATGGGTAAACTTACGGCAGGCGTGCTGTGGAAAGCGCAAATGATGGGAAATGTGAGAATGTGTTTGCCCAATGTAGATTAGGATGGTACATATGGCTGGTTTCAGTTATACGATACCTGGAAACTGTGGAAGCTGTTTTCCCTGTACATCAGGGCAATTCCAGCAACATACTCTGTAAGCTCTTGAACAACAACATCATCAATCTCAACCTCTGGCTTTTCTTCTTCCTGGAGAGCCATCTCAGCATCAAACTTGGGCATATTGATTATCTCCTCGACTTCTTTCATACAGGTCTGCCCTTGTGGTGGAAAGTATGAAGGGGCAACTCCTGGCTGCTTGTTTTTGGAAGCACCACGGGCCTGAACCTGGAATTGAAGGAGCTGCATGATTAGGACCTGTAAAAGGAAGCTGCATTGAACCACAACACAGGACTTACAATTTTTCTGATATCCACTAGCAAAGTATGCACCACCCAATCAACAAGGCGTTTCTCTGTGGCATGTTTCAAGCCGCTGTTGTGACTATGGCCTTTCATTTCACTTGGGCTGTGATCTTCAGTGATGACAGCTGACTGCGATGTCTCAGTGATTCCATCTTCGTCTGGCATGATCCAGTATGTCCTACAAGCAAAAAAAGCATTCAGAAATGAGCAAGGCACATAATCCAGTGCCCAGCTACAAGAATCTGTTCCTTCCTACCTCAGGACTCCTTTCCCTTTTGCCTTCACTGAATCCTCACGTGGTTTCAGCCATGCTTCTTTGCCAGCTTTCCGAAGAGCACTAGCAGTTGACTCTGAAACTTGAATCATGCTCTTGATACTTGTGGACTCCATTCGAGAGGCTGTGTTTACTGTGTCACCAAAAAGTTGGAAGCGTGCCTGTGTTGTGACAACTAGCAGGTTAGAATCACATTGAACATTTGTCAGGAAATGGCAATTCCTTTCCAAAGAACGCACCCTGTCCCCCCTCAGCACACCTGCAGTCACTGGCCCCTGTACATAAACTGGAAAGTTAGATGCAAGCAGTTCAAACAAACTCAACAGTTGCTGCAAAAACACTCACCGAGTTCAAACCAAACCGCATTTCAAGTTGTGCAGTGTCTGGTCCCTATAAAATCCATGAAAGATACATGAGTTCTCCAAAATGCAGCCTCTAGTCAGAAGGGTTCGTTGTGCTTACCAAGGCACTTTCTAGCCTTCTGGCGACCTCTCGCATCTTGTGCAAGCAAGCTAATGCAAAATCCACCATTATCAAAGCGTGCTTGGCTTGCGGTGTGGGGAGGCCTGTTACTGCCTATGCTTGTCCACAAACAAGAGATGATGAGACAACTGTGTGCTTTTGGCTAGTAGTGGGGAGAGGAGGTAGAAGGGGTGCTGACTTACAACATAGCTATCACCTGGTTCAATCACCAAAGATATTGGTGTGTGAGCTTTCAATTACCAATGAAGTCCCTCTTCTCAAACCTTTCCGTCACAAATAACAATGAGAAGTGCTTACCAATGGTCTCAACTGCAAGGCATTTTGGAAGCCAAGAAGGTAGAAATTTGAGTCTTTTTCAGAACACCCTGCAAGGAGGCGAGTCGAAAGGGAAGCTTACCTTTGAAAACCCCCCTTCGTTTTGCAAGGATATCAAACTCTTGGTATACCGACTGAAGTAGTTGGAAAACTTGGCTTGGCTCCCTTGTACTACTCCAAGCCTACAGATGAGAGACAAAGAGAGTCAGTTAAGGACGATTCCAACTTTTGCTTCTCTGGGCTCTTCCTTGTTTTCGTACCGTAAAACCAACAATGTCCCCAAAGAATACAGTGCCTGATGCACGCACAATGTAGCCACAGGTGTGAGAAGAGCTATGCCATCATTTTTAGTCGTTTCTCATTTGGCTTACAGTTTGGGAAAAGATCAGCAATGGCTTTGCCACCTTCACCGTGGTGACCATCAAGGGTGTTGAAGTGGTGCTTCATCTTTCCCGAGTAACGTTTGTCCTCTTGTTCCTCTTCCATTAGTCGGTCTCGGACATTCTAAAAGATTTGAATGACAACACTGTTAGGACAAACAAACAGTACACAGGTTACAGATTGCCACAAATTGCCTAGAAATCCCCTGCTCTTACCTCAGGAAAAAGAGAGGCCACAATTGCCGTTGATTGAGTGGCTTTAGTGAGAATTGCTCGCTGCCTTTGCTCTACCATTCTGTCATAAACGAGAAACATCAAGATGGCAAACACAAACAAGATGACCACAATGGCCAGTGTAACTTTCAAGGGGGCACCGGTGTTGTGCTCATTGTAAAACTCTTGTGATGGATAAACATGCAGTCGATAAAGGCACCTCGTATCTATCTGGATCCCCTCAGTTGTCCCGTCAGCAAGGCTGCCTCCTCTGAATCTGCCTTCTGCCTTCCAAGCATTGAAAGCTGGATCATGGTGATCTCCAGACCCAATTGCCTGAACTGCACTTCCTTGGATCATGTAGGTGAACTGAACACCGAGTGTATGCGCTTGCGGTGCCACGTTGTTCTCGGCTTGAGAGTGGTGTACATGTTCATCCTCATGATGTCCATGTTCATCCCCATGATGTCCATGTTCATCCTCATCTTCTAGAGTCCTATGTTCATCATGGTCTTCCCCAGCCGCGTGGAAGCCGTGCTCTCCACATTCATACTCTAGGACCGCAAACAACGGTGGCACACTATCTGGCAACTAAGAAACACAGCACAACTTAGATGTGAGAACCGCAGACAACGTGTGACCCACCAGATTTTAAAACATCACAAGCAGTTGCTTCTTACAATGGACTCGAAATAATCAATCCAATGCACCAGTGCCTTGAGAACACCCACAACCTTCCGATCCTCTGGGTTGTTTTCATTAACTTGGTCGAAAATAGGAAGCATGACATTGGACATAGGATCACCCCTATAAGCTGGTCCTTCCCCATGATGCCCATGGGGGTCGTGGCCATCCCCCCCTCCATGCTTGATATTGTCATACCTGTTCCAAATGTGCGGAGTGAAGCAAGAGAATGAGTTGGTTCTGGCGGTTGGTGCGAGGGAAAAATGCATATGGCATTAACTCGCTGTTACCTTGCGAGTAGTTTTGTAAGGGGATGAGGACTCTCCACATCACCTGGTGGTGCGTCGAGGAATCCACCAACCACGACCCTGCCACTTTCCAAGACGGTTTCGGCAATTGCATGGGACTCGTGCACATAGTCTTTTAATAGGTTCACATTGACAAGGCCTTCCCTCACGTATGGAGATGTCTGCCAACGTGGCAAGTACATGGCCTCACCAGCCTGTTCCGGAACCCATTGGCCATCATGCAGAGAGGAGCTGTTGGTCACAAAGTAGTGCATTGGTCTCACATCTGTTTGACGAGAGAGTTCATCGTGGTCGATGTGGTCAACGTGGCCGACTCCTTCTTGTTCATGTGCTTCACCCTGGAGCCCATTGTGTTCATCGTCATGATCATCATGGTGATCATCTTGCCCCAGCTCCCTGTTATCATCATGATGTTCCGCTGCGTCATGCTCGGGTTCTCCATGTTCGTCATTGTGGTCTTCACCATGTTCGTCATCGTGGTCTTCCCCATGTTCGTCGTGGTGTTCATCTTGATGTTCATCTCCGTGTTCATCTCCGTGTTCATCTCCATTCGAGTCTTCTTTTTCTTTTGCGACGATGGCATCGACGCTACAATACACGACCATGGCACGAGACGTCGCAGCAACACAACAGAGATGAGTGGACGGCACATTCTTGATCGACAACCAGGCATCATCAACTAACTTACATCCATCGGTCGTTTTCTGGTTGCGAAACAAACTCATTCCAAGCATCAAACTGCTCGCCAGCCACAACGGGATACATCCCAAGCGATAGCACTCCTGCTAGCTCTCGTGCGTGGGTTGCCTTTTGATGGAAGTTCTTGAGGTTGACAAAGGGCCAGTCTTGTCCTGAGGAGGCAAACAACAATCCAAGCCCTGCCACAGAATCCATTCGCTCCATGACGTTCTCAAAACTGTAAATAACCTTGGAAGAAACCGCATCATATTGACTCTCAAATGTCTCAGCTTCGGCTTGATTAGAGATTTGGAAGATTACTACTGCAAGGGTCACACAAGCAACAACCAACGCAGAAATCACAACCACACGCAGACGAAGCACACCGCGAGATTGCTCTTCTGAGAGCTGGGATCGGATTGCATCGATGTTGGCTTTGTCCGCATCGATTCGACCCTGAGAACTAGAAGTGTCCTCATTGGAAAAAGTACTTGCTTTCTCGTCAAAACCGGTAGGGCCTGGGTTGGCAGGGCGCGGAGTGGTGGTGTTGGAGGAGAAGAGATCTTTGGCTGATATCATTGTTGCTTGGAGGCGGAAAGGTTGGAGGGACGAGAGTTGGCTCGATGTGGAAGCGGCGGATTCGTTCTAAAGGATGTTACGGGAGGACGAGAGCAGCAGAGCGATTGCTTGAAGAAAATATGAACTGAAAACGCAGAGGACTGTATTGTGAGGGGAGCCGATACTGGCTAAGAAGTCGAGCTACGATGTCTGATCCCAAATTTTGAGATGTCGTGCTATAAAGTCATTACTCTCAATTGCCAAAGTAATTGCTATGGATAAAGCCACTCTCTCCTGTCGCGATGGATCCACCAAGTCCAAGGTCCAAGCCCTCTTGCTGGTCTCATCAGATCCCACCAAACCTAATAGCCATAGCTACTGGAACATAGATCTAGTTCTTGATTCTGACTTTTTCTTCCTTTAGAAAAGCCAGCCCAGATACAGTTACTGAAAGAACAGCCGGGACTAGTACCACCAGGTACCTTCTACACTTCTGCGTGTACGTAGAGTAGTTCCGTTATATCCGGAAGTACCCTCAACATAATTCCATCAAATGAAAAGAAAAGAAGGGTAGAATACTGGATTAAGTAATGAGGGAACACTTTGTGACCACTGTTCAATTATACGACTGTCCAAAACTCCACCTAGTCACCAATATTTAGTAATAGAACATTTGGACATAATTGATGGTTAATTTTAATGCTGAAAGAAGGGAAGACTGCAACCATGCTTTTAAATCATCACAGAAAACATCCCTTGAATCGTATTGTAGCTAAATTGAAGGGACGTAATTGGACATAAAGGAAGGGGAAGTGATACGATTGCCAGTTGCCTTTTACGTGTACCATTAATCCATTAATCGTCCTTTAATTCGTTCGTTACTACACAAATAATTCGTCTACCTGGTACGAGTATCAGATACTCCAGTAGACATTATTTGACATTTAAAAAATAATAATATTGCAATAGTAAGGCAGACAAATAATGGGATATAAGGGACCTTTCATAGCTGGTCATTTCACCTGCACACTTTGTCCAGGTTCTCAGGCGTGGTCCTATCCAGTTTTCATGTGGGTCCTCCGTGCATACGGTACGCGAAACACATTTACATGTATTTTCATCGATTTATTTAGGCGTACGTATGATGTTTTCTCTCCTGTTAAATAACCAAGTCACTCACATACAGGATGACTTTATTTACTGTTGACAGGTGTAAAATGTGAGCGTTTGTTTACGGTTATGTTTCGGTTTTCGGAAATGGGAACCCGGAAGTACATGTAGTCATTTCACCATTCCGTTGTGAATACGACTGTACATGTAACAGTTAGTTGGTTCGCAGAATAACAAAGAACAAAGAAAGATCAATTTTACCAGCATGGCAACAGTGTTGGCCAATGGTCTCTATGCATAGCTCTACCATTACATTGTTCTAGCTGAGTCTGTCAGAGGACTAGCTCCCCAACACACTCACAGAGCCACACCGTGAAGGGACTCAGCTATCTCCAAGGTTTCCTATGGAGCATCTATGAAAAAGTCAGGCCTGGATTCCATTTTGTTGTCATTCTGCCATGCATTTCTCCATGGGAAAGGTGCTCCAGTCCTCACTCTCGGCACTCAATCTGCACTGTAGAGTAGAGGAGTGGGTGGCTCTGCATGGAGACTGGAGCCCCCAATTCAAAGTTTCAAAGGAGAATTGTTGACTTGATATCCACAAAAATGGAGCAGATTTGTTGCTTGTAGTCAGTCGACAAGTCAAAATCGTAGTAGAGTAGCTGCCGCTTGTTCCTTTTGTAGTAGCAGTAGAAGGAGCCTTCCAGCTTTCCTTGTCTTGCCTCTGCCGGAAGAGTCGTCGTCGCTCCAAATCGAGCCGTCGATCGAATCGAGCCATCGAACCGTCGAACGGAAGAAACTTGTTGCCAGTGCCAGTTGTCGAGGCGTCGCTGCCTGTTGCTTGTTGTGGTAGTAGTAGTCGCCTGTTGTTGTATTAGCGGTAGAGAAGGCGTCATGGTCGCTCCGATCGAGCTTTAATACGCATATTGAGAAACACTGTAACGAAATCCATAAGTTGCCCCATACCCCTGTTAAGGGTGCAGGTACCGGTATGTGAGCAAATCTGGCTGACTGAGTCGGGCATCGACTGAGTCATCGACTCTGTCAAGCTGTCAAGGATCAGGTGGTTTTGCTGGTACGGGTACCTGGTACCTGTTGCCGCTTCGCGGACTTTGGAGCTTTGGAGAGTGCTTGACATTGTATGTACCTGGTAGTCATCGGACCCCTGAGGAGCTACATGTACATTTATTTATGTAAGCAATCTAGCTGACTGAGTCACTCGTCTCGTCACTCGAGCCAGATCTGTCAAGCTGTCAAGTGTCAAGGATTTGGTGGTGATGGTGCTGGTGCAGCTACTGGTGTGCTGCTGCGGTCTTCATGGTTCCTCCCAAGCTTTGTGCCTTCAATGCTGAGTCCCACTACCAAAGTGGGAATAACTTTGGAGCTCTTGGCTTTTAGAAAGGATGCATTACTTTTTAGGTACCGTAACCGGTACCACCGGTGTTACAAACCGGTACGGTAGCCCGTCAAAGGTGCTTGTGTTGGATACGACAAGGCCTTCTTTTGCATCGGACAATAGGACGATGCCGCTCTGATGGACCTCGCTCGCCGATGTGGACACCTTCATTGTGCACGTTCGATTTAACCTTGGCGACTATGGCTCATGGGCTCTTGACTTGGCTTCTCGCTTTGCGTCAGAGAAAGTACTGGCCTTCAAGAAAGCCCAATACATGTACGATCAAGACTCCTTCACTCCCGCTCAAAAGGTGCACATTGAGCCAGCAATGATTCCAGCACTCCGCTGCATGAAGGATATGTCGTTTTGGTGACAGGTGAATTGACAGTCAGTGCAGGAGAGATGTTTACCTTTCGATGAAGCTATACATTGGTTATTGTTTAGTCATATGAAGCTATTATTCTCATTCCTCTCAGCTGGCTGACTTTCATTGCAAAGTTCGAATCAGGGCAACTGATGAACATGGCGTTGATTGGGACATTCAGTGCTTGACTCAACCATTCCACTGTTGCAGCATTGAATTGGCTGTTGACGATCAGGAGGCTGATTTTTACGCGCGGATAGAGCAAGTCCAAAAGCTTCACATGCTCGGTTAGCGATGTCACGTTCTGTTGATTGTAGTCGGCACAATGGACAATAATGATTTTGTTGGTTTGCTCGTTGACCTGGATGTACAAAACAGCCTTGTTCAGCATATGCAAGTCATCATGCTTGCAATAAAAGATGAAAGGTACATCTTGAACCTTCTTCAACTCGGTAGAAAGAGCGGACAGGCATGATGGTTTGCTCGCTGGTGGCGGCGGTGGTAGGAGCAGATCCTGTTCCCCCGTAGGTTTCGTGGCGAGCTCTTCGTCGTCTCCTGCAATTCCTCTGCTCATCTTTCGCACGATTGCTGGGCTTTTGAGGATGTCTTCCATTTCGTCCGCATCATCATCATCATCGGTTGCGTCGTTCTTTGATTCTCCACTTTTCATTACTTTGTAGACGAGGCGCATGATTCTTACCCGTTGGAACATGACGAGCACAAGGAGGCCGACAATCAAGACATAGACAAAGAAATAAGTCAACAGCTCTGGCTTTCCGAGGATATTTCCCATCAACGCGATCAACACTCCGATCAATCCAACAATGGAATGGGTCCACGATACGGAAATCTCTCGTGGCAAGGACGGTCGCTTGACTTTGAGGATGATGTTTCCGCAAGCAAAGATTGTCATGACGGAAAGAAAGGCGAAACAGTAGACTCCTCCGAGAGCTTCTACGTCGCTGTCCAATGCAACAACTTGAGAGACGCACAAGAGAAAGAATCCCACGAGAATGAAGGAATCTGTGCCGGTCCAGGGATTCTGTCGCAAGAAGAATTGTGGCAGACACCGGTCCATGGCCATGCGTCGAATCAACCCATTGATTCCAACGTATCCCGTCAAGAGAGCCGCCGCCAAGACGACAAAGGCATCGACCGAGACCAAGACCGACAAGAAGGGTCCAAACTGGTAATGATCTGGGAAATGGAGTGAATTCTGCACCCAGACACCCACCACATGTGCGGTCCGGGCCAACACTGTATCCTTGTGTTCCATGATTTCATCGAGGCGGAGACAGGAGAAACTGATCAAACTGAGGAGAGGATTGAAGAAAAAGACGCCGGCCCACATATTTCTGAGCGTTTTGGGAAAGACTCCAGGTGCCTGCTCTTCGACAAACTGCGAACTGGTTTCGAATCCTGAAACACCCAACATGGCGGAACTAAAGCCATAGAACACTGCCATCCAAAAGGTTCCCGGCAGCATGTCACCGGCGACATCGACGGAGGGATAGGGTGTATCCCAATTCTCCCAGATCAATCCAGGATTGCAGACCATGTGAACCACTCCCAAGGTGGTCAATAGAGACAGTGTTGCGACGTGCAGGACAAAGACAACTTTGGCAAATGTGGCACTTTCTTGCATTCCAAGATTGGTCAAGCAGCAAAAGAAAAAGAGGAGCAAGATGGTTGCCCATTGAGCATCAATTTCCCACCCCACGGGTAGGACCGTTTGGAGGTATGCAATGGCTTCCAGGGCTGATACCACTCCGGTGGTAATGTAGGCGATAATGGCAAAGACTGCCGCCATGGACGCGACCTGCTTGGATGTGCCTTTTAAAAACAAAAAAGCGAGCATGCGAGAGAACACGGTTGAGTATGGAGGTGCACCAAAGGATTTGGAATAGCAAGCTGCTTTTGGTTTGAAATAATCGTTGCGCTTACAGTTCAATAGAATATTGTAGGTTCCACCATTACAGGGCAGCGCCATGACGGTTTCATGATAGATTCCACGAAACAGATAGAGGATGACCCCCACGAGTAATAGACAGAGCGGCGCCAACTTGCCGGCCGACAGGGTAACGAGTCCACTAACATAAAAGGTGGAACTCAAAATGTCGTTTCCCGAAATGGCCGTTGCCTCGAGTTCCTTCAAGAGAACCTTGCGACTTTCGACGACTTGCAAGTTTTCGTCGATGCGTTCCATTTCGGAATGAGCGGGTGTCGTTCGAACATTGTAGGATCCGTAGCCTGCAAAGTCGTGTGGGGCTGGTACGAACAAAGAATAACGGTGGAACAGAAGAATGAGTGAGAGACAGAAAAAGAGAGCAAGAGTGACGTGTATGTGTTGTTGTTATTGTTGACCGTCACTCTTGTTTTGACTTACCAAATCTTTTCCGGTGTGCCCCAGGAGGCGTCCAAAGCCAGGACGACTCATCAAGTTGCTGATAGAGCGCAGGATTGGACGGAACCTTCTTCATGGTGGAGGCCATCTTGCCAATTCAATTTGATTCGATGGGTTTGTTGGTCGTTCTTTCAATATCAAACTATCTCACACGGTTGAATTTCTTACTTGTACTCCGTCTTGATTGTGTGATGCTGGCTGGTTGTGCTAGCTCCACCATTCGGAAGCACGGTGGTTGGAGATGCGTCTGCAAGATGGCTGATGATGTGGGTCTTTCAAGCATGCAACATGCAACTACATCATGTACTCAGAAGTACTGGTAGCCACTAGCTGGTGATTGTTTGCATTTGCATTGGTTGGAGTCGAAAATGTGAGGGCTGGTTTTCTTCGTACGTTTCCGTAAAAAGATTGCGTTACGTGGATTAAGTACCAAAAGTAGTATAAATATTATTAATAGTGTCGTTTAGATGTCGCCTTGTGCTACATGTTACATGTAAAACTTTTAGAGCCCTTTAGTGGATTCAGAGAAGATCCCACTTCCGGGAAACAGCAACGGTTCGGCAGCATCGCTTCATCCACCATCCACTCGAGCAACGCAGACAGAACATCACACTGCATCATGCACACTTGAGCAACTCAGCAAAGCACCAGTACGGTAGAGTAACCAACGAGCAAGAGAACTGACTGCCTGAAGTCTGGTCTTGAAGCTGCCTTCACATCTACCCAACGGACTACTAGCAAGCTAGTATGTTTTACCTGTTTGATCTCGCCAAGAACACCAAGAACTACGGGAGTGTCGATGGGCAACTAGCACATCATGCCGAAGTGATCCACTCCAACAACGGACGATACGACAGCGAGTTGGGAAGTCCTGATTCCAAGGTTGATGAGGACGACGACGATGATGACGACGACGACCCACGGACACCTCGCGTCCGAAATACCACAGGAGTGGATCCACTACTTCCTCCTCCTCCACCACCACCCACCTACGAGTACTCGTCGGATGATGACGAGGAGGAACCACCCAAAAGCAATCCACAAACAGCAGCAGCAGCACCGCCGTATCAAACCACGGCTACCAGCAACAGTGTCATTCAAGTACGGGGTGTAGCACGAGACGAAATTTTGTCCTTGGATCGAGCCGTGGATCGACTGGGGATGGGAGCCTTTCAGTACCAAATACTCATTGCGGCGGGACTCTTCATGGCAGCCGATTCCATACAGAGTGTACTCTTGAGTTTTCTATCCAAAAGTCAACAACTTCAATCCGTGACGATCGACGACAATCAAACATTGGCAGCAGGACGACACCTCGTCTTGACGCAATATTTATCACAACACGACACCAACCGCACAGACACGGTACAAATTGCCGCCGAAGCACAAGCCATGAACGATATCACCATGGTGGTCTTTCCGGCAGCCTTAATGGGGGCACTGGTGTGGGGGATGCTCGGGGATATCGTGGGGAGACGACCCGTATTTGTCTACGGAGCCGCTCCGTTGGTGGCCATTTGTGGACTGGGGACGGCACTCGTATCGGCATCGCCGGTACTCTCCAACGATTGGTTACTCCTCACCAGTTTCCTGGTCGCATTTGGCGTCGGGGCCGTCACGATTCCATATGATTTGTTGTCGGAAGTCGTGTCACTCCAACATCGAGCGCGTTGTCTCATTTTGCTCCAAGTATTCTGGACCGTGGGAGCCTTGTTGATTCATCTCGTACTGAAACTACTGCTGGCAGCATCCAACGACGATGATCGAAAAACCATGTTCATCATGGTGCCACAGGTTCATGCCACCGTGGACGATCAAATTGCGTTTGAGGCTTCCTGGCAATGGGTCGTTCTGGTCGTTCTGGTCGTCGTTTGCGCCGTTCCTTGCATCTTTGCCACTCTCATTGGCATCTTTGCTGTGCCGGAATCACCAAGATGGTTGGTCGCCAAGGGCCATCACCAATCCGCCTTGCGTATCTTGAGACGAGCCGTCATGATCAATAATAATAATCCACAACAACAACAGCGGAACAACGATGGACACGAATCCTTCCCGGATTGTACCATTCTGTATACGCATGAACAACCCGAATCGCTTCGGACCATTTGCAGTCTCTGTGCGTCCGACTGGATGAAAGTCACATCGGCCTTGTGGGCAACCTACTTTGGAATGGCATTTTTGGATCATGGCACGCTCACATTGACCGTGTCGGTGTTTTCCAATGATGCCCGACAACAAGATTTTCAAGGAGTCTTTCGATCGGCGGCCGAATTGGCCGGACTCTGGTTAGCTTGGTGGACGATTGACGATTACGGGAGGATCATGACCCAACAGTGGGCGTATCTAGGAGGTGGCATCTCGTGTCTTGGCATTGCCTTGCTCATTACACCCGTCACAGACAGTGATTACGACAATCTGCTCCTGGTACTGGCATTTATCAATCGCATGGTGGTTACTACTGGGACTTGTGCGACGTGGATATCCACTGCCGAAGTTTTGGCCACGGAAATCCGAACGTCGCGCCATGCCATTGCGCATGCCGTGGGACGTCTTGGTGACTATGCGGCACAGGCGGTCTTTTGGAGAATGACATCCCTTCCTGAAATTGGTGTAGTCTTGTTGGCCGTCGGTATTTGGACAACGTTTGCCAGTGGGTCTCTTCCTGAAACGCAAGCCAAAGATATGGGAGTGGGCCACTTGCCGTGGATGAATCGAAACGAAAATTCCGCATGGGGGCCTACTACTGGCAGGAAACGAAACAGAAAGAAGACACGGAGTAGGCAGAACTTGTCGCCCTACTAAACACGGAATGGGCAAAGGGGAATCTTATCTTGTTCTGATAGTGGCCATACCGGTAGCTATAATATTGTATCCCACAGGAGGTGGGAAAGTCGAGCAGCTGGAAGAGCTTCAAGATTCTCCAAACTAATACAACAAGACAGTCGAACACAGTGTACTCTTTTTAAATGCGACTCTTATCAGCGTACATTTGGCTTGCTTTACCTGCTTGATCACAGCTCAACTTCCTACAAACTCACCGCCATGATCAAGAAACACCTGTAACAAAAGTCTTGAACCTGCTAGCTAGTTTCGAGTTGAGTCAAGATTGACGCTTGTAGCCCGCAGATTTTCGGGCAGCGCAAGGAGTGAGTCATCTCACCGGCCCTATGGGCACACCACAAGCCATTACTATCAAGCTGGATAACAGAGTTTTTCGCTGCAACATTCAGTGCAGCATCCCTCTGGGCACGATATTATTGCCATAGAAGGCTGATTCGCACAGTCCGCCCTGATCTCTATGCCATCTTCCCTGTTGATGTGAGAGTAAGCATTGTCGCACATGGACTGGGGTATCTTGCCAGAAATTCCAGGGTTTTTACTGATGTCAAACTGGTACAGAGCTGTCAGTGCTGATACCTCCTCTGGCAACTTCCCCACGAAATCATTGCTTGACACATCAAGCTTGGAAAGACTAGTCAGCAGTCCAATTTCTGTTCTGATGCTGCCACCAAGAGCATTGCCACTCAGATTGAGTTCCTGCAAGGCTGTCAATCTGTAGAACTCGGATGGCATTGGCCCTGTGAGTTGGTTGCCGGCCAAATTGAGGACCCTCAACTTGGGGAGAAGAGCCAACTCTGTTGGCAGTGGCCCATTCAAGCTGTTGGTGGCCATTGTCAAGCCAATCACTTGACTGCTAGTTTCACCGCAGACTATTCCACCCCACTGGCATTCATGGCTTGCTGGATCGAGCCAACTTCTGCCAAGAAGGGCACTATCGTTGTCATAGCACAGATCACCATTATCGCCATTGCATCGTCGCCAAAGCTGTTCCTGAGAAGTTTGGTACAAGAAGACAGCCAAAATGTACCTTTGCACGAAGTTGTCAACCAGGGGCAGCTGTGCAGAGTCTCTCACAATCCAATCCAAGGCCTGATAGCGTACTGCTGCTTTGTCATCGTCCTTGGGATTGAAGTAATCCTCTCCCAACGCATTGGAGATTGCCATTTGTAACTCAGAATAGTAGACAGAGGTCGGAGCCATTGTAGGTGTATCTGCTCCTTGGGCACCGCACAAACCACTTCCACAAACACCACCAAATGTGGCAGGCACAACTACCAGACAAAGAAGGACAATGAACAGATTCCTCCAGCTCTCAAACATGTTTCTTTCTGGCTTTGCGTGAGAAGCTTCTTGGTTGTCATTGGTGTTTGGAACTGCACCTGGAACCCAACCAGTCAATATGACTTCTCTGGAAGCTGGATCATCAGTAACTGTCTTTTCAGCACTCAAGGGCGTTTCTCTTGGATTGATTTCTTCCATGGGATCATTGTTAGTGGAAACAGGGCCAGCAAGTCTGGGTCGGCCGGATTCCACAAAAGCTCCGGGAAGCCTTGAATTGCTTGATGCGCCAATAGCCATGCGATCATTGCCAGTGGAAACATGGCCAGCAAGTCTGGGTCGGCCGGGTTCCGCAAAAGCTCCGGGAAGTCTTGAATTGATGGATGCGGAAATTGCCCTGCTTGTCTTCGAGGACACATTGTCTTCATCTGTTGCGTCCTTTTTTTGTTGATGTTCCGCAAAAGCTCCGGGAAGAACTGAATTGATGGATGCGGAAATTGCCCTGCTTGTCTTCGAGGACACTTTGTCTTCATCTGTTGCATCCTCTGATGGCAGCACATTTTCTTGTGGATGCTCCTTGGGCTTGTTGATACTATCAAATTCTCGCTTTTCCTTTGTGTTTGAAATGGCGATTTGGTGCTGCTGGCTATCTGACTCTGCATGCATCCTTTTGGCCTCCTTTGTGATTGAGGTATTGCTGGCCAAATACATGCTGGCTGCTGATTCTCCACCGCCTGTGGGAACATGAGGTGCAGTTTCTCCAGAAACTGATGAAACCTTGGAGGTGCCACCGTCTTCCATTTCTTCTGTCAGAACCTCCAATTGAGGGCGTGGCTTTGTAAGGTGAACCTGTTGTTGGCGAGGATGATTGCTAGGAGGAGAAGCGATCCTGTCACCGGGTGAAGGTGCAGTTGATGCCAACTCAGCTAGATGGAAGGGGTCCACAACTGTCTCATCATCGGGGACATTGGACAAGGAAGGATACATCACGTTCTGGTACTCAACAGTATGCAAATCAGTGACATTGGAAACGAGTGTTTGGTCATCTTGCCCAAACTGCAGCGCGTCTGGATAGACCACATGTGCATCGGCAGATGCTGGATCATGCACTTGCTGTTCCAACTCTTGAGCTGCAAAGGCATGGAGGTCATTGTCTGTCAATGGCTGCTCAGGGTAGTCTCCTGGGGAGAGAGAGTTTTGATCGTCACAGCGGTATCTGTCGTCGATTGGTTGGTGGTTGTATTTATATCTTGCCTCTTCCCTTCCTGACGGGGTGACATGGCTTTCATGGTCCATGTCGTCCCCGCGGAAAGACCTACTTTCATCTTGACCATACCGGTATCGTTCTTCCGCTGAGCGATTGCCGTACCTGTACCGAGAACGATCGGCCCTCGCACGATCGGCCCTTGAACGTTCCTCGTAACTACATGTATTCATCTCTTCGATTCGATAGGTTAGCTAGTAGTTCCCCTTTTGTTTCGGTAAGCAAGACCGTGCGATTGCTTTGCCAATGCTTTGTGATGAGCTATCCTTGGTAACTTGGTAATTCCTCGTTGCTTTGTGAGCTCTTGATGGGTTGTGGGGTGCCATGAATGCAGCTTTTCGCTGGTTCTTTCCCTTTTTGGGTTGCGAAAGTGCGCCGAGAGAGTTTACGGTACGGTATGCCATTCATGCGTAAGTATTATAGTATTATGGCCTATGGCCTGTACCTAAAAGGCGGCCACGTGTCATTCGGAAAGGTCCAGGCGTTCAGCCAACGATTGAATGATGTCATTCAAGTGAAGTGATCATTCAACCCATCGGAAGGAATTACAGCTCTGCTGTGTTTATCTTAAAAGATAGAGCAACAATTGACGTCTCCGGTCGCTGAAGGTTGCATGTTGCACGTCACGGTTGCGTGTTGCACGTCACGGTTGCACGCGGTGGACACTGCATGTAGAGTGATCTGGGTATTAATTAAGACTGCAGTGCATTAAGGCCCACGTAATATTCTTGGGGTTGTACAGTAATTTCTATAGTACTACTACAGTAAGACCTAGCTATCATAGCTACAGCTAGACCACACTGTGTACCAGAGGGTGGCCAGTATCGGTACCAGGTACATGTAGCATCCTTGATCTCTCTGCGGTACGACTGTACCAGTCTAGCCAGCCTTGTGGAATGAATCCCCTTCGCTGCAAAGAGTGTTGGCCGTCAATAGAGGAACGAGTGTCGATACAGTACCGGTAGGCACACAAGTGAGGTAGCTACGGTGCGTTGATACAATTGATAGATGTACCTGGTACGAGGAAGGAGTGTTGCTTCGATACCTCTAACCACACTAGCTAGATACCTCTAACCACACTACCGGTAGCTAGTAGAGGTGCTTCCCTTGTGCTTCAATAGAGGTGCTTCGGTACTTCGGTTCCGGTGCCGGCCATGGAGGTGCTGAGAAAAGTTGTGGTGCTAGCTAGCTAGACTCAGTACTAGAGGCTACATGTGACGTCACGTAGGATCCTACGTAGACTCAGTACTAGAGGCTATGTGTGACATCATTCGGTCTTAATATGTGGTGAAAAGAATTAGCCTGTCAGTGGGTCGATTTCTTCAACCGTCCATAACTCCCCCAATAAGTACACTATGAAGATGAGAATTTTTTGGCTTACTCAGCAACATGTGTTCTATCGATTCCCCTCATTACATGTACTATATTCGATATACAGCCCTGAAGAGAATATTCCGCGAAACGATGGGTCGTAAAGCCCAGATCACTCCAGTAGCTCTGAATTGATTCAATCATTTAAGTCAGCGGGAGCTGCAATACCACAGCAGAAAGACAGATAGAAGAAGGATGACATGTTGAGATGCACCCTTCTTTCAAGGTAGCCCTGGCGACAACACCCGACTTCGTCCTGTGTTGCCGTTAACCATAATTTTACAGCTGTCACTCCTGTATGTACCTGTAACTTTTGTAGCTTCTGCTGGCTTATTGTGTTGAGTGCACTAACCTTGAATAATTGCACTACGCTAAAAGCTAGTGTAAAGATCTTTCGAGTGTTTTGAGTTTGAGAGAATGAAAGTTATGAGAGAGATTAGAAAGCTATGAAAACTAATCAACGAGAGAGATCACCATCAAAGGATCGTAGATCTGGTCTCCCGCGGGAGACTATAAAGTGTGATAGAGTAGGTTGCGGTAGTAATCCTACTTATCTCCACGATCCTAAAACGGAACGCGTGGAAGATTTGTCTAGCATGAATCTAGTAGCGTGGAAGTACTCCACGCTGGCTAAATATCTAGAGCGATGTTTCATCATCAACCTAGTATGACTAGAGCGGTCATTGAGAACCCTGTCTCAAATGACTATTCACGAGAGACTCAGTCATGAGTCGAACTCAAACCCTATCTAGGATCGAGTCGCGAATAAGGCTAAGATCCGTGTATTGCATTCGCCCCCTGACAAGGGTCACAGAAGGCGCGACAGCAGTCGGACAAGGAGAACATATGATTTAAAGTGCGGGGCACTCTCATGAGATTGGATGTAGACATGTTCGTCGTACGATGGCAATCCTACAAGGGGATCAGGCCTTGTATGGGTGTATATACCTTATGTTCCAAGTCTGGTAGACTGTGCCGCCATTGGCGGTAGCATGTCGGAGCCGTACAGTGCCATTGTCATTGACTCGGTCTACTATAGTGTAAGGACCTTTGTACTTTGGCTGACCGTACTTGCGGTGCTGATACTGTTGAATCATCACGGTATCGTTGACATTGTATTGATGAGGGACACGCGTCGCGTTTTCCCTATCGTTGTTCTGTTGGATTAGTCGTTGGCGACGTTCCTTGATGTACTTCCAGTTGGCTTCGAAACGGACGTTGTGAATCGCGTCATGATTGAACACGAGCTGCGCAGGCGTTGCACGCAAGGTGGTATGAATCGTGGCATTCATTGCAAAGCGAACCGCCGTGAGGACTCCATCCCAGGATCCATTCACGAGGTCGTCTTGGCACTTGATGTTTTGAACAGCGATCAAGTTGCGTATGGTCTGATGAGCACGCTCGACCATAGAGTTGGCTTGAGGGTTACGCGTAGTGATGAACTTGCGACGAAGTCCATATTCATCCCGGAGTGTCTTTTCGACCTCTGCACGGAACTCGCGTCCTCTATCCATGATAACCTCAGCAGGCCATGGATACCGAGTAAGCCACGTTTGTTCTAGGACGATGGCTACTTCGTCTGCTGCCTTGGAGCAGATCTCTGCAATCTCGAACCATCCGGTTACGGGATCAATCATTGTCAAGCAATGAAGTGTGCAGGAATTCTTTTTCTTAGGATCCCCGACGTTGTAGGGACCTATCAGGTCAATACATAGTCTTTCCCAAGGGATCTCCTCGCAAGTCTTTGGAGGCATCAATCCCAGCTTACGCGTCTTGGGTTTGTTCATCTGGCAGCTCTGGCAACGCTGACATACGGCCTGCACAGTCTTGCGCAGTCCTTTCCAGGTGTAGTGTTGGCTGATGGTCAGTTCTGTGCGAGTCTCGCCAGGATGCATCAGTACACCATGGTACCATTCGACTAGCTTCTTCTGCATAGTCTTAGGTACGACGATCTTGTCGTCCTTGACTACTAAGTCGTAAGACTTATCCCCTCTGGGGAAAGATTGCTTCTTGTAGTCGTTTGGCTTGTCCCTGAGGAGTTTCTTGATATCGTTGTCGTCCTTCTGACGATGTTCGATCTCGGGGAACGAGAGAGGGAACTCGCTAGGGAAGTCCTCTTCGTCTGCAGCCATGAGCTCAGCGATCTCGCTGGCTTCCATCTGTTCTGAAGAACCATCATTGTTGGAGATGTTAAGTCTCGACAACGCATCAGCGACGATGTTGTGTTCGCCCTTGATGTACCGTAGTTCAGGGCCGTATTCTTCCAGAATAAGGCGCCATCGCATTACGCGATCGGTATTGAAGTTCTTACATGTAAGATTCTTGTGGTCCGTATGTACAACGATCTTCTGTCCTAGAAGAATGTTACGGAATTCTTTCAGAGTTTCTACGATACTGAGAAGTTCCTTCTCGGTAACGGTGTAGCGTGTCTGAGCAGGGTTGAGCTTCCTGCTGTAGAACGCGATAGGTTTTCCCTTCTGGGAAATTACTGCACCTAGTTGAGTATCACTCGCATCCGTGTGGATAACGAATGTATCGTTGAAGTCAGGGTAAGCGAGCAAGGTTTCTTTGCTGATGATCTTCTTCATCTGGCTAAAGGCCTTGGCGTGTTCGGCTTCCCATTTCCACTTCGTTGTTTTGGAAGTCAACGAAGCGAGTGGAGCCAGTACATGTGATCGTCTAATCCACATGTCTCGATAGTAGTTCACTAGTCCAATGAATCTACGGAGTTCTTTTCTGTTAGTAGGAGGAGCGATATTCTGGATCGCGTCTATTTTCTTGGTTATAGGTTGGATCCCTTCTCGAGTAATCCAGTAACCTAAGTATTCAAGTTCTCCTCTTGCGAAGAAGGACTTGGTAGCATTGATCTTAAGTCCGGCTTCTCGAAGCCTTCGGAGAACTTCATCCAACTTTTCAACGTGATCTGCCAGATCGCCGTTAGTTAGGATGAGTAGATCATCAATGTATGCACGGACGTATTCTAGGTCGTGCATTAGTGTTCCCATCTTCTCTTGGAAGATGTCGGGACTATTACATAGGCCCATTGGCAACCTCTGGTATTCGTACTTTCCCCACGGGAGTACGATAGTACAGAGTTGTTTCGAGTGAGGTGACAGCTCGATGTGATAGTATCCCATGTTCAGGTCTAGACTAGTGGCGTACTTGAATCCGTCTAGGTTCAAGAGCATGTCCTGTATTTTTGGGATAGGATAAGGCTTCCGCTTAATCCTTTTGTTTAGTTCCCGGAAATCAGAGATGAATCGTACAGATCCATCCTTTTTGGGAATGATAAAAGTTGGTGCCGCCCATTCGGAACGGTTCACCTTCTTGAGTACTCCTGCTTCGCAGAGACGTTCAACCTCCATCTTAAGAGTGTTGGTATGTTCCCCACCCATTGCCCGCGTCACTAAAGCCACTCCGTGGCCATAGTTTGTTAAACTAACGAGTATTTTACACCCCTGGTATGGACACGTGGAATAGGATAAGCCCTAGCGTGATAGGGTTTAGCGTCAGGGAGGAGTTCTACTTCGTAGTCGTCCATCTGCCACTTTCCTAGAGTGCCATCGAATAGGTCAGAGTACTTCGTTAATAAGGAATGAAGCTGTTCCTGCTCTTCCTTATTCAACTGATTTTGACTTTGGCAAACCTGCCTTAAGTCAGCTTGTTCGTATTTCGCATCAAGAATCTTCTTGAGACGATCTGCACTGTCATCAACGGCAGTAGGATCAGGAATGAAGAAATTCTCTTCTTCATTGGTGTCGCTATCTTTCATAGGAATAGATATGCCGTCCCACTCCACTGACATGGTAGTGAAATCGAACTTAAATCCTAAGTCAGAGAGAATGTCTCGACCTATGATCATGTCATACGCCCCCAAGCTCTTGGTGACGTGTAAATCCCATTCGATAATTTATCATCGTGGAATTCAGGAATCATGAATGCACCTTTGCACTTTGTGCTGGTGTTCAATTCTCCTGCAGGGGTAGTCCACATGGTTTGGACGCCCCCAAGATCCTTCATGCGTAATTTCTTAGCATGAGGTTGAGCAATCAAAGTTCTGGATGCTCCTGTATCCAGTAAGCAACGGAGTTGAGCAATCAAGGTTCTGGATGCTCCTGTATCCAGTAAGCAACGGAGTGTAACGGGTTTTGGTTTCCCTTTTTCTCGCTTGTTAAATCTAACATAGACGATGGGTTTGAGGTCTCTTGTCTTGCGACGTTTACGAGGTGGTTGGCCACGGACGAGGTTAACGATGCTAAATAGATCATCAGAGTCTAGTTGAGCAGCTTCTAGGCAATCATCTAATTTGCCGTAGAGTTCATCAGTTGCAAACAATTCTTGTTTACTAGTTAGTGAGATATCTTCATCACTTTGGTATGAGAAATCGGAACAGGGTGCCGTTGAGTCATCATCCTGGCCTAATCCTCAGATAGAGATTTCTCCATCCAAGTGATTGAGATTGATAGAGGAGTTGTCCTCATTGTCAGAGTTTTCTGATTTGCGCTTGGCAACATGGTTGCGAAGTTTGCAAGTGGTGGCACGAGTGTCGTCGATCTCGTGTTCTTCGTCATTGTCGACGAGAGGAAGAATGGGTTTGTCACGCAACTGTTTCTCGAAGTTGCGGAACGCATGCTTTCCTTGAGCCATCTTCATGGTGAAGGAATAGGTTGAGGGTAGCTGAAAGCTATTGTGTTTGTTAACAAAATGCACTACGCTAAAAGCTAGTGTAAAGATCTTTCGAGTGTTTTGAGTTTGAGAGAATGAAAGTTATGAGAGAGATTAGAAAGCTATGAAAACTAATCAACGAGAGAGATCATCATCAAGGGATCGTAGATCTGGCTTCCCGCGGGAGACTATAAAGTGTGATAGAGTAGGTTGTGGTAGTAATCCTACGTCTCTCCACGATCCCAAAACGGAACGCGTGGAAGGTTTGTCTAGCCTGGATCTAGTAGCGTGGAAGTACTCCACGCTGGCTAAATATCTAGAGCGATGTTTCATCATCAACCTAGTATGACTAGCGCGGTCATTGAGAACCCTGTCTCAAATGACTATTCACGAGAGACTCGGTCATGAGTCGAACTCAAACCCTATCTAGGATCGAGTCGCGAATAAGGCTAAGAGCCGTGTATTGCACTACAGTACAAATTTTTCTTAGTGCCTAATAACCAACCCCCACGATCCAGATAGCTAGTCTATTCTTGACGTTTCCTCAAGTCTCAGGCGACCTTTGTTGTAGTGGAGATTCTGAAGAGAGATTCTGAAGAGCAGTTTGGAGTCTGTGGACTTGCCTTCGTGAAGCCCACCCTCCCAACCTGTACCCCAAGCAGTTCTGGCCAGCTGGCCAGCTACATGCATTAACATGTTGCCCAACAATCGATCTATCGTTTGAAATCTATATCCCCCCAAAAAGGTAGCCAGCTTACGTAACAGGTAGTTGTTAAATCTCTCAAGCACGCTTCTGGGCTTCGAAGCATTATACAGTAATAGTATTGTTAAATCTTGGGTTCAAATTTGGGGCAGTGGGTCTGTGGGTGTTCGAGGTTGCAAGAGTTTATCAATTGCAGCAAAAAGTGAGTATTCTAAATATAAAAGAGCGACAACACGAAACAATGACGACCGCTTGTTTGTTGACTGTCACGATCGAGTACTAGCTAGCACTCATTCCAATCAGAGACTCTTTATACTGCCTTGTCGTTGTTGTGCTTTCCTTTGACCAAGTTGCTTTTACTTGAGTGCTTATTGCTTCGTGGTCAAGCTAGCTACGGAGTGTTGGCCTAAACTGTGACAGAGCACCTTTCGAAAACCATATCATGAGACGCCACCATGGCTCAATCGAACCTGCATCGACTTCCACTACACTGTCACTACCAAACTCTGGCCGTCACAATCGAAGACAATCACCTGTGGCGTTGAATCATGACATCTTGCCAACGACACTGCACTCTACAGTAGCCTTGCAAAATGCCGAAGATACAGCATTAAGACACCAGGATGATGGTAACAAGAAGAGAGCCAGCATGATGATTCCGACTCTCCTAATTCAACGAGATGGTGTCCTGACATTCCACCCTGTTTTGATCAAGGGATTCTTCATTCTGGGAGGAATGGTGCTATTGGCAATCCATGTATTTTTGTTGTGGGAAATGATGATGACGGCGGACACAAAGGCTCCACCCGATTTGCCTGTACCGCAACACCAAAAGAACGACAATCAACTTATACTCACCAAATTGGGGCCACGGGACAGAGAACAATATACAATTCGCATTAATACTTGGCAACGGCACGAACAACTAGCCATCTCTATAGACCATCATGCCAGTTGTCCTGGTGTGGCACAAATACAAGTTGTATGGTGCGAACCACAGGATCCACCAGACTCACTCCTCCAGTTGCACCCGGACAAGGTCATTTTCGAACGACATCAAGTCAATTCATTGAATGAACGATTTCATATTTTACCGACTACCAAAACACCCACCGTGGGGATTCTAAGCATGGACGACGACGTGCTAAGGCCTTGTCAAGCCATCGACTCGGGATTCTTTCAATGGACCCAGTCGCCCTCGCGCATGGTCGGATTTGATTATCGAGTGCATGTCGAAAACGACAATGGATCCTGGAAGTATGGATACCTGAGTACCACACAAAAGGGAAATCGGTATAGCATGTCTCTGCCTCGCTATGCTTTCCTGCATCGAGATTATTTGGATCTCTACATGACACAGTTGCCACGTCCCATTTTTGATCAGGTGGCAGAGCACTTCAACTGTGAAGACATTGCCATGAGCTTTCTCATTTCCTCCCGCACCAAGGGGAGGCCGCCTCTGCTCGCCCACTTTTGGTCCATTGAATCCATGATCAAGTTACATGTCCCGAAACGAATTAGTGGTACTAAGGATCACAAGGCTTTGAGAGATGCATGTGTTGAGAGCTTTGCACAACATCTAGACCTCAAGGGTCGCCTCTATGCGGCTCCGATTTTGTATCGCAATGACACCATGTTTTACTGTGGCGACAAACACTATCATGATGATGACGACGACAAACACAAATCCAACCTCCGCCAAGAGATTAGTAATCGCGAGGAAGACCTAACCAAGAATATCCGCCAATGGAAGAAATTCAGCAACAAACACATGGCAAAGTTTGTTTCAGAAATGAAAGCCAACGCTTCTGCAAACGCCAAGCTTGCGGGGCTCATTGAGCATACTGAAGAATGGACTGCTAGATTTAGGAACGCACATGAAAAATAGCTCGACTCAAGCGAATGGGGCATGGGACGTCTGCATGAATCTTGCGCTGTAGTGGTCTATACTGTAGCTTTCAATTTTTCTATCATTCCCTTTATTAAATGCAGTACACACCGGTAGCAGTTGCCTGCCTATCGCCAATGCTCTTCTGGGCACATCAAAGCCAAAACGAATGTGTCGCGTAGCAAAGGGGGGTTCACCCGGCCACCGTCACCGACAATAATTGGCTCCTTCAGTGCTCCAACTTGAAGGATGTTTTCAAATCTTGGACGCACTCACACTTTTCATTTGGGTTGTTCGAATAGCCTGACCAACGAGGAAACCTTTCTCGGCCGCGGGCGGGGAGGAACTACCGCATTCGCTCCATCCTCTGACGAGCCCCCTGTGGAGGCCATGCCCTTCAGCCGCGTCGACATCCCCTGGGAAGGTGCAATCTCCACAACTTTCGGAGTAACAACTTTTGGCACCCCTTGCGAGACCACTGTCTTGGGCTCACTTTTAGGTTCCCCATTGGAGGAAGGTGCAATCTCGACAATCTCCACAATTTTGGGAGCAAATTTTTTTGCTGGCCTTTTCTTGGTGCCCTTCTTTGCTGGTTTTGACCTTTTCCAATTGACTGGAAAAATCGGAACAACCTTGTCTTCCTTTGGAGAAACCACTTTTGAGCTCGATTTTGACCCAGTCTTGCTGTCGGAAGGGGCAACATGCACAATCTCGACAACCCTTGGCGAAGCTTTTCGTGGTGCCTCTTTTGTTGTCGATGCATTTGGCGTAATTTCAGACTGTATAATCTCCACAACTTTCGGAGAAACTTTTGGTCTCCCCTGTTTCCTTTTCTTCGATGCTGTTCCGAGGGAAGGAGCAACCTTCACAACTATCGGCGTGACTTTGGGATCTTCGTTGGGGTCTGTCTTTGCCGACCTACCAGTCTCCACAATCTCAACAACCTTAGGAGAACCAGTGCTTGCTCTATTTGAGGTACTCATGGAAGCTGCATTCTCGACATTCTCAACAGTTGGTACCCCAATAGACACAAGAATGGGCACATTTAGTGAACCGTCCACGGGTTCATTCTCCACAACTGTCGGAGAAACTTCCAGTGCCCCGTCCGAGTTGCTTGTTGCCACACTTCCCGTAGTAGGAGGTGCATTCTTCACAACCCCCAAATCATCTGGAGGAGCGGCTGGATCCCCTTGCAACTCAGTCTTCCTGAGCAATGTTGCACTGTCAGACCCCTGAGAGACAGTCTCGTCCTCTTGAGAGACATCATCCACCGCCCTATTGCAAGGTGCAGGTTCCTCAACGATTGGAGAAGCCAACGGTAGTGGCAATGACAGATTTGTTGTGCTGTTTTCCCAGTCTACAGATTTGTTGCTTTTTTCTTCTGCGGCAGTATTCTCCCACCTGCTTGACTCCTCAGCAGCCGCTTTCGACTGCCCGTCAGCCATTGTTGCTTCCAGTGCGGGGTAAGGCTTATTTAGAATATCTTTCGCCTTCAAAGCAGCATCCTCGTGTGAATCTGGCGTTGTTATCTCATCCGCCCTGTCCACCGATTGGTCACTCTGTTCTACTGCATGAGTGTTTTCAGACTTGATCGACTGTGCACTTGTCAACTCAAAGAGAGAATCTACAGATTTGTTGCTTTCTTCTGCTGGGGTGCTATCAGGTTCGATTGCCCGTTCGTGAGCCATTTGTAGTAACAATTCTGGTTCAAGCGGGAGAGTTCCTTCTGGATTCACCTCCTCTTGTGCATCTACCCTGGCAACAGATTCGCCATTAACTTCTTTTCCCAGGTTACTTTCGAGTCGTTGTAGTTCTTCCAATAGTTGATTCTTTTTGGCTCGTTCTTCCACCAAACGATTTTTTGTTTCATCGTGTGCCATTCGTTCTCCTTCCAGCGCCTGCTTTGCTCGTTCCAATTCGAGTGACAACGGCAATGCATCTTCTGCAACGATGTTTTCCAGGCTGATGGATTGCTTGTCGGCAATTGTTGTTTCCGGTGCTTCTTCCGGGTTAACAATTCCTTGTGCTTCCAATTCCACTTCCACTTGTGAATTTGGCGCTGTCATCTCATCTGCTCCGCCTGCAGGTTTGTCACTTTCTTCTGCTGCAGGGGTGTTTTCTGACACACCTGCCTCTGCTCTTTTCTCTTTTGACAATTGTCTAGCTTTGTCGTTTCCATCGCCAGCTGCGATATTTTCTGGTTTGGTCGATTTCTTCTTGGCAATTCTTGATTCCCACCCTGGTTGAGGTTGGCGAGTTTCTGCCTCCGCTGACTCCACTTTCACTGGCGAATTTGATGCTGTCACCTCATCTGCTCTGTCTACATATTTGTCATGTTTTTCTCTGCTACCCAGTTTGACTGACTGCATGTCATCCATTGTTAATTCCAGCGCTGGTTTCGGTGGATGGACCTCCTCCAACTCAACCTCCTCTGGCATAGTTGTCTCATCAACCAAGCCAATGGCTCTGTCAAATACCTCCTCAAGTGTTGTTGTCTCATCAACGCAGTCATTGTTGTCCTCAGCAATTGTTGTGTGCAACTCTGGTTCAAGCGGCAGAATTTCTTGCTCCTCTGACGGGAACTTCTCTGACTTGAGCTCCTCTTTTGAATTGGCTCCGTCGACAACCTTGAAGCTTTCTTCTCCCACAACAGTGTTCTCCAGAATGACTGTATGGTCCTCAGCCATTGTTGTGTCCAACTCTGGTTGAGGTGGGTGCATGTTTTCTTCCTGCAACTCAACACCCTCCTCAAGTGTTGTTGTCTCATCAACCCAGTCTGCCTTTGTTGTTTGCAACTCCGGTTCAGGTGAGAAAATTTCTTGCTCCTCTGACTGGCACTTCTCTGGCTCTAACTCCTCTTGTGAATCTTCGCTGCCAACAACTTTATCGCTTTCTTCCTCTGAAGGGGTATTTTCCAGTTTTATTGGCTTATCTTCCAAAGTTGTGCGCAAATCTGGTTGAGGTGGATGCATTTTTTCTTCCTCAAACTCAAGCGTCTCTGCTGTTGTTGTCTCATCTACCATGTTATTGGCTTCATCAATTTCTTCTTCAACATGGGTGCTTTCTGACATGATTGTCTGTTCCTCAGGCCTTGTTGCCTGCAACTCTGGTTCAAGTAGGAGACTTTCTTGCTCCTCTGACTCGACCTCCTCTTGTGATTCTACCCCAAAGGCAGATTTGTCATGTTCTTCTTCTTCAAGGGTGCTTTGCGACCCGATCGACTCGAGCGACTGCTTGTCGGGCATTGTGGAGTCCAATTCTAGTTCACGCCGAAGAATCTCTTCTCTTTCGGGCTCAAACTCATCTTGTGAATTGGGTGTTGCTATCTCATCTGCCCCATCGGCAGATTCGTCCCTTTCTTCTTCTGGAGGGGTAGTTTCCAGTTGGATTGTTGGCTCTTCAGAAGCTGTTGTTTCCACATCTGGTTCACGTGGGTGAATTTCTTGCTCATCTGACTCAAGCTCCTCAACTGAATCTGATGTTGCCATCTCATCTACCACGTTGTAGGCTTCGACACTTTCTTCTTCCTTGGGAGTGCTTTGCGACTCGGTTGACTGCTGCTCCTCACTCATTGCTGCATCCAGTTCACGCAGGAGAATTTCCTCCCTTTCTGACTCAGCATTCTCTTGTGAATCTGATGCTGTTGCCTCGTCATCCCTCTCCAAAGATTTTTCACTTTCCCCCGCAGAACTGGTTAACTGCTCGTCAGCCATCTTGATTTCCCATGCTGGTGCAGGCGGCAGAATGTCTTCCTCCTCGGATTCAACCTCCTCATCTACTAGAAGGCACGATTCTTGAAAGGCCTCTTCTTCAATTTCTTCCTCGTCCAACAGGACCGACTCCATGACGGAGGTTTCTTCGACAATTTCCTCGTATTCCTCGTCGTCCCCACATTCTGTCGCGACCTCAATTTCTACTTCATCCTCGCCATACTCGGTGACAAAGGATTCCTCGAGTGTCTCGTACGAATTCCAAAAGTCTAAAAAAGTAATAGAGGAATCACAGTGTTCCGTCCAGGCCTCCAGGGAGAACCCCGACATTTCACTGGCATTGTCGTCGACATCCTCCTGCGGATATTCCCCATAGCCATCATCGCTTCGTAAATAGGAAGACGAGGAGGAGCATTCCCCGCTTTCTTCCTCCTCTTCTTCATAAATCCAGCTGTCGTCGCTCACATCGTCAGTATGCTGCTCAGAGGAAGCCTTGCTGCGAAAACTCTGGTGGAGGCCATTTTTGCTATTGATGCTTCGGAAACTCCGCCAACTCTGTTGATGAAAGCTGTCAAACTGAGTTTTGCTGTGATTTCCCAGGAGAGTACCGGAGCTTTCTCCAGGTAATATTCTCTTGTGGCTGCGACTGGAGGATCGAATGCTTCTTAAACTTCTGGCGCTTTGGTGGAGATGATCCATTTTTTTGCCTCGAATGCTCTGTTCTTTGGATAGGACTGGTGCTGTAGTAAACAGTGTTCCATCCCAGTCCACTTGGTGCTCCGGATCAATGATATCTTGCAGAAGATTCCATCGAACGGGTGACTGACTGTTTTGTGATTGGTCCAAGTGTCCCACAACTTGGACCATATCTTGGACGGATAACTTCATGATTAATTCTCGCACTTGAGGAATGAGTGTTTTGGTGTGGTGCGTTGTTGCTGATGGCGGTGTTGGTTGCAATTCTCCCCCCTTGTTCCCGGCTGCATGTCGTAGAAGAGCATCTTCAAACATGTTGGCTAATTTCTGTGCGAGTTCAGAGGAACTCAGACTGGGTCGAGGAGCAACGTCCTCATCATGGTTGTCATGATCCGATCTGGTGGGTAGATTATCCTCTTCAAAAGACGAAATGGATAGCTGAGACGCGGCACTGGAATTGATATCATTGTTGCGTCTTCTCTCTTGCACTCCGTGCAGACTGCGCTTCAGATCCTCAATATCGATACTGTGAAACGTCCCGGCCAAATCTTCCATTTGACCATAGCTCAGAGACTTGCGTAACTCCCAGCGGTCTCGTGTCCCCCGCGCCGCCAAGCGTTGACGACGTCGGCGTCGATTGACATGATTGCTGCGTAATAAATCGTCCAAAGTAATTTTGTTTTTGGATTTGGATTTGTCAACATCACCTTTTCTGGTAGCATCTCCCTTTATGACCAGTGTGGCACCATTATCATCCCCAGTCAGCTGCAGCTGCAATTTGACACCAGCATTCTTTTGAATACCCAACCGAATCTCCCCATCGTCGCCGTCATCATCGTCGAAATTATTGACCGTGTTGATGCGCTCAGAGGAATGGAATGTCACAGCGTCCGCTGAAAAAGATCGTTTGGGTAGGATTGAATTCGACGTGAAAGGTACTTCCAGACCTTCAGTGGTAGCTCTTCTCTTACTCCGCATGATGCGCTTTGGCGTTGTCCCTTCAGCCTTATTAATTTCTTCTTGGGCCGACTTGCATTTCTCGAACCCCTCTTCTTCTTCGGATGCTGCTGCCATTGTTGTGGTGATACCGTTGCCGTATTCCATGTATTTTAATTAACTACAAGTCCAGCCTGAGCACAGAGGTCTTGTTGATTGTTGGCTGCTGTTTTCCCCTCGCTACTATTACGGTAGTATGCTGATACCTTCGGACATCGATCGAGGCATTATTTGACTTCGGCAAAGGTCACGTTTATGATCTGGCAGTCGCGGGAGTCAAGTCACAGTTTTTTCAACTCCCACACGAGGCACGACTTTGGTATCCTGGACCACAATTGGGACTTGACTTAGGACAGCCAGCACAACTACAGTCGTACCAATATTTTAAGTACTGGTATGGTGCTTGCGAGTTTCCTTGTGTCTGTACTGGTTCCCTTGGGGTGTTCGCTCAGAGTATATCGAGGATTCGGTCTTTCGTTAGCCTCCTCTGCCGGTGTGCTTTGCCACCTTCGTACACTCTCCAAATAACTGGTTGGTGATCGCATAACGCGATCGGTATTGAAATTCTTGCAGGTGAGATTCTTGTGGTCTGTATGTACTACAATCTTCTGCCTGAGAGGAATGTTATGGAACTCCTTGAGAGTCTCAACAATACTGAGAAGGAATTTCCGTATAGTGTGTTTGAGCCGGATTGAGTTTCCTGCTGTAGAACGCGATAGTCAAGCCCACAAAGACATTTGGTTTGAGTTGGTCAGTTTCTTCCATACTGTCACTCCTAAGAATTGTACTAGTAGTCTACTACTCTTGCTAGATCCCAATGTTTCTCTTGCCAAATAAACAAGCTGGATGTGGGACCAACTACACGTACTATGGTAACGTGTGCGTAGAATAGCAACCTAATAGTATCTTCGATCCAGCATAGTATTTGATGTTGTTGCTTGCAAGCCACAGCTACGGTTGTTCCACAGCACCAATGTGCGACGGGATACAGCTTACAATTCAGCTTTACAGCTTTACAATTAGCAGGCTTATTCTAGAAAATAATCAATAACTCCCTTTGTTGGAATCCCTGTAGTCTCCTGCCTGTGGGTCAACCCCCTACGGAGTAGTTTATAAATTCAAACGTCGAAAGAGTGATACGAGGCCACATCCGCCGCACGAGATCGCCCAGAGAACGAAGTCACATCGCCCAGAGATCGCGACTTTTGACGGCGGTCTGTTCCAATCCTCATAATTCTACCAATCGGCGAAATCAAGCAATCGACCACAGTAAGTCCTGCTGTCGCAATGTTTAGGGAGTCTTCGAATGTAAACGAACCAAATGCAAGACAACACTACGACCAATAGAGCTTGCATAGGCCTATACTCAACTGCAGCATTTCAGAAGCGCACCAATTCAACGATACCGAAATGCTTGCCGCTAGTTTCCGAAATCTTGGCCTTGAGGAACAACAACAACAACAATCGGGACACAAGCTGGATTGTGACTGAACAAGCTCTGCTACCCGTGTGCACCGCCGCTGGTCGGATTCCGTGTTGCGTTCGAAACAAACATCAGTGCGTCTCCGCTCGAGTCTATGAAATAGTGAGGATGTGATTGTTCGGGTGCCACGAGAGTAGATATTGCCCGATACTCCATACTACAGCATCTCGGCCAGTTCGAACGCGCATAATAGTCTACGACTCTGGGTTTAAATAAGGTCATGACCACTTGCAAATGGAACACAACATGGCTCTGTGGGGCAGAGTTATTAAAGTATTGTCTGGCATCCCGAGGAGGTATCGGTGGCCTCGCAATGGAGTTCTTTTGCTGCCCTCGTGTTGAATTCTGCCTATAATCTCTGCTCGATTGTAAACAGATCGTCGAGATCGATCGATGCACTTTACTTGTGCGCTTGAGTATCTTTGTCTCCCTGTCTTTTTCCTTATGCCGAAGTCAGCTCCCAGACGGAGAATCCGAGGCTAAGATAGTTCTTGTCCCCTCACCGTGAGGTTCATCTGGCATCAGAGTAAAGATTAGAGCAGCATATAGCAGTTACTGACAGTAGTAGTAGATGGTTAGCTCAACGGAGCTCTCTCGAGTAACGTATATCGTACGTGCATTTCGTCCTACCAGCTAGGATTGCACGCTACTGTTGGTACCCGTTGATCGGTGATCGTCCCCATACATTTCTACTACGCCTTGATGGGTTGACTCGCCCCTTTGACTAGTCACTGCTCCTTCCCGAATAGGACCAAAATCGCCCAGGGTCATCGCGATTCGATCGGCGAAGGATGAAATAATGGGTTGCGATTGCTTCGAGCGAATCAACAACAAGGGACTGCTTACGAGCGAATCCAGGTACAAGGGGATTGCTTACGAGCGAATCCAGGGGATCGAAAGGGGATTGCGTGCTAGCGCTAGCGAATCAGTCGAGAAAAGGGGTTACCATGATGATAACAAGGGATAGACAATATAAGAAATAGAATGAGTAACATCTCATAACCTCGCATGCTACCATGCGACAATACCATTGTGCATTGACTAATCTATCGATCTAGAGATGCAAAGTTTGTATTTCCAAATAAGTGAGCA